CCAAAAGGTACATACACTCTTTTATCCTCCTAATGTTGATATTATAAAAAACAAATTTTGAATTACCAACTCCCTATACCCACTCTTACCACAGAGAGGTGCTTATTACTGAAGTAGTTTGTAAAAATTTACTTTATAAGACAAACCCTCAGGCAGCAGAAATGTGATACTCTTTCTTAATCTTGTTTTTGCCCCACACACAAATAAGTCTGCTTTCTCTCTTTACCCTAAAAGAGCAATATAGGTCCAGGAGGATCAACCTCTAAATAAAAAGTTCCCCAGAATCGGTACAGCATAATGTACCTGGCGATGTGTTCTTAATGTTCCTGGCGATGTGCTCCACCTGTAAAAGGCCCACATATTGGTCATACCAGCACATTTTTGCTGGGTCTGTCCCACAGGATGTCTTATTACAAATTCACTACTTTCATAATAAAGAGTTAATATTGTGCATAGGCAGATCTTTATCATGCATACAGATATTTTTGCAACCACTCTGAGCCAGAGGGCCTTCAAGGATATTACATATTCACTTTGCTCTCACCAGTTGCCATATAAATGGGGATTTCTAGCAAAATTGTTTGTCCAGCAGAATGGCTCTAAAGTCATTATTACATCTCCAGAGTAGGGATTTTTGCAAACCTGGAACCTTGATCATTAACACATGCTGCTTCTTTGCAAATCTGAGCCTCCAACCTTAGTGGAAATGGGCCTGTAACTAAGATCTTAGTGATCTGGAGAGACGTACATGCACGGTTGAAATTCCTTTAATTACTTCTTCCTTAGGCCACAAAGTGATGATCCCTAGATATATTTGTAACAAGTTTTACCGACGCTGCACTGGAAGAAATTTTTTACAAATGGGGCCCAGCCATTTAAAATTAATTTTAACACGGGAGTACACGTTTGTATTCCTGACACCATAGTGTTCATTTCATTTATATTATTTTCTTCTGAAATCTGCACTTTTTACAAAATGGAAAAAAGGACACTTTTTTCACATAAAGCTTTTCAGCAAGCTAAAGTGCTTTAGAGGTGTGGGGTGTCCCTTTAAATACTATCGCAACTTATATACTGCAGCACTTGCAAGTATAATATCTAACAAACTGATGGTGGATTGTTTTTATGAATCTTTTCTGTGCCTTTCTGTGGATTAAGCACCTTCTGACAATAAAAGGGCTAAAAATAAGCAGATACAATTTTTGTTTTTTATTGTGCACCTTACTTGTTCTTCTGGGACTACTTTATAAACAGAAGCTATAAAACCTATTCTCTATTTAGCTCAATATTAGCCATAGAGAAAATAAGAATATGAAATGAATTCTTCTTGGAGACTTAATAGTGGTGAAGCAGAAGGCAAATATTGGGTTGTAAAAGGTTATTGGAATAATTGTGTGATATTGATTGCAATAAGATATTGCACTGACTTATTTCTTTACAATTTTCTCGGATTCCCAGAATATTTTGGCAGCACAGCAAAAAAAAATGTTTACTTCAATCATTGTGAAAATAATTCAACTATAGTGCCAAACAAAATGCACTACATTGTAATTGAGAAAATGACTTTACTTATTATTACCTGCTCTTTTGAAACTATATTTGAGGAATGTGTTTTTATAAACACTAAATATTACACCTCGACCCCATACTGTTTCAATCAAACTCACACATGCACATTTTTAAAATATGGAGTATAGCATGGCATTGCAAAAAACTCACTTTATTCCAAAGAGGAAAATCAATAGTGTGACAGACCCCCCTTTTCAAGTAACTTTGCCACGAGTTCCTGGAGGAGCCTGATTGCCAACCTCCTGCTCACAGACTATGGACCCTGTAAAATGTGATGTAAAAGTCTCTGTTCATGTATTTGGACTATATGGTTCGGGAACCGAACAGCCGCATGAACCGGAGACCACCCTGGAGCTTGTTAAGCCGAATTAATACTTTGTAGCAATTTCTACCGCAGTATTCTAAGTGTTCGTCTGGGTGGCCGCAATTTCTATGGACGACCACAAGTTGGCGGCCATCTTGTTCGCATGAACACAGGCAGCGGTGTTTGGTTGTCCAGTTCATGGAACTATTTTCGGACACTGAAACTCCTGAACACTGCTGGACTTCCATGATCGCCTAGGTTCGGTTCTACAACACTTAGAAAGACACTTTGGTGGAAACGTTCCCACGAACAAGGGGAACAAGCCCCAGGGTAAGAACATTGACTTTGTTCGGTAGTTTGTTTGGTTTTTAAACTACCGAACTAGACCAACCACAAGCCCTGATTCTCTGGAACTGTTTTAGGCATGGGACCATGCATGCGGTTGGTCAAATTATGACTTCCAGGAAATTCCTGAACCGATCTGGGTGATTTTTGGATATGTTGGTCACCCAGATCGGGGCTATAAGAGGGGTTTTATGTATTTTTAACATACTTTTGGGGTGTTTGGGAAATGTGCGTTTTTTGTGCCTGGAGATAATTGAGTTTAATACCGTGCTTGACTCAATTATCTCCCAGGCACAGGGGAGGGATTATCTTGTTTTGTATGGGCCCTGGACCTAAGAGCCAAAGTAATCATGTGTGTGTTTTTACTGTAGTCTATCTCTCAGGTCCCGGGGAGAGTGCACCTTGCATGGGGACCTGCATATAAGGCCAGTTGTGGCTGCCAATAAATGAATTCCAGCTTGTTCTCCCAGAACTATATGTCGTCTTGTTACTGGGAAGGGAAAGGGCTACTCTTTAATCACTGTTCCAGTGTGGAGGATTCAACTGAGAAAGTTCTTGTAAGGACTAGAGCTCCCAGGACTGAGTATCATCCAGTGCTTGGGGGTTGCTAGAGTGAGTTACCCATTCGGCACCAGGAGGGAGCCGTTCCAGGACTAGAGTCCCAGGACTGAGTGTCGTCCAGTGCCTGGGGGTTGCTAGAGCGAGTTCCCCATTCGGCTATAGGAGGGTGCGGTTCCAGAACCCCAGTCAAGCCACGGCGACCTTCGGCAGAAGTGCTGCGGTTTATCCCTATTCCAGCTTAGAATCGGGCCTTCTGCAGAGCTACCCAGTCAGAGTACAGGGAGATCCATTACAAATAGTTGTGCTGATAATTGAATCCCTGAATACCTTAAGAAGGTGCACTTAATTTACATCATTACATAGGCTGAAAATTGAGTTGTGGCGATCAAGTTCAGAATTTCTCACTTCTGTTTCCAAAAGAAATAATAATTTGAACCACTGTCCAAATTTTCAGCAAAATATGGAAAAAAAATCCTTCTTGACCCCAGAATTCCAGAACATCTCTATTTGGATTAAGAAGCTGGTAACCCACATATTAAATATGACATTGACAAATAGTATGCCTTTGCAATTCCTCATTTGCTGTTTATAAATCTGTACAGGCACTGAAATAAAACACTTCCTCAGACAGAGCATTCAAAATCGATATTGTTCTTGTTTAAAGAATCTTTTCCTTTGCCATAGACTAAATCAAATTTTTTCCAGGCTAAGTGGGTAACCTTGTGTCCTATGTATAGTCCAATTCATTAATAGATTTCCAGGCAAAGGTTTGTGTTAGTCCCGAATATATTTGTATAAACTTATCAAATCCCCTTTCTCTAAACAAAATAGATTTAAATTTTATAGCCTTTCTTTATTACATTATATCTTCCATTCCCCTTATTACATTTGTGTCCTGCCTCTGTACTTTTTCTAGTGACATGATATCCTTCTTTACAACAGGTGTACACAATTGCAATTTATCTTGAAACGTCCAATCAAAATATTTCTGTAAGTTTTTGCAGCAATGATTTGCATATCTCTTGCAATAGGTCTCTTTTTGATATATACTAAAGAAAAATATATATTTAAAAAGCCTTGATACTAACACACCCATCTCTGATATCAGTGAACCAACATTTTTATTTTTGAAACCCTACATTTTGAATTTCTACCCATAAGAATAAACAAGTGTCATGGTGGTAGCGAATCTATTCAATGGCATTACACTAGAATGTTTTGGATTTATTTTGTATCCTGAAAGCATAAACTAAAAGAAGCAAGTAGGTCAAAAAGCAGGGAAGGCACATAGGCCGAACTCTAGCATTTTACACATAAGCTGAACTCTTGAATTGTTCACCGGCAACAAAAAATGATCTTCTCATCCCAATGAAATCTTAAAATTTGGTAATACAAAAAAAACAGATACTTTATTACACAATATAATTATTTTAAAAAATCACTGTATTGTTCACTGTAAAAATAATTGTTATTTACAAAACAAATTTCAAATTATATTAACTTATTATCTAACTTTACTATTCCATATCTTGTCTAGTTAGACTACAACATAAAACGTCCCCCACTACTAACTACTCTTGTTTTGAACTGCTTTTTTTGAGGGTGTGAGGGGGCAATCTCTAATTCTTTTTATAATTCTTTATTTTTGTAGTGCATACAGTTGGAACAGTAATGCTTGTGGTACCCCACCGGCAGTCCACTCGCTAATTTCAACAACAATAGATACAGTGGGGAGTGATTGGACAGTGCACATTTTGAATATGGTATAGACTGACAAAGTGCATTTCACAGGCTTAAGTAGTTCGAGACTAGGCTAGTAATGACGCATGAAGAGCAGAGTTTCAACGTTAATGAACAGGTTAATTAGGCATGTTTAGCTAGTGGGCGCAGTGAGTGTGAGATATGAGCTGTCCATGCTTAGTATGTATCATAAGTGATGTTCAGGTGTAAGTCTGTTTATATGCAGGTATATATGTGTACACCTGGGCTTGCTTTCCTAACATGTTACACAGGTGACTAAGTGAGCACAATGAGTTAAGTGCTTGTCATACAATAGCATGGGTAGACAAAACAGTGCTAGGGGACAAGTCTGGCCAACAGAGCTAATTAGTCAAGGTCGTTGCTAGGTAGGAGTGGTTATCGGGACACAGAGCTATTAACACCTCTGGGTTCTGTAATCCTGGAAAGGGGGTAACACTGACATTGAGAATAACAAGAGTATTTAAGAATAACAAGAGTCTTTACATTGCTGGAGATGATCTTGCTGTGTGTTAGCAGGAGCCGCTTTATCCAGTTGTCCCCCAGTACCACCGATGGGCTGCAGCAGAGCGTTCAGCATTAGTGGGTCCCCGAGATTTTCCGGTCCATGGACCTGTGAACCTCCCCACTTCACTCTGTCATGTCTCCTTGTGTGGTGAGTGCTGTCTAGGCGAGTTCTGCTGCCGGCACTTCCATGAGAGTGTGACTTGATCCTACTTGCAGTGTCCATGAGTTTTACTGCCCTGTAGTAGACTGGTAGGATAATAGTGGGTGCTTTTCTCTTTGACTGTGTTGTTTTCCTCATTTTTGAGCAAGCGTCATCTTGACCTCTCTGGCAGCTCGCGCACATGGCCGGCGCTCGGCGGCCATCTTGTGTACTGTCGCCCTGGTGATGTTCCCTGCTAGGGTGGTTGATTGGGCCAAGGTTGGTGTGCTGGTTGGTACCTCTGCAGACCGGGATGACCCCCCCGGTCCAGGGGGGGGGGGGCGGACGCGAACCGCCGGCCAGGAGACCCAGGAGAGCGGCCGTCCCTTCCTGGCTCAAGCCCCAACGAACTCCGAGCCCGGCCAGGTTACTGTCGGTGCCGGACCGGGACCCATGCGGCATCCCCGCTTTCCCCAGTGACTGGGGGTCCTTGTGGACATCTGTGGGACCCTCCGGTCGCGGTTATCCTCCAATTTGCTCCGGCTTTTGGGCCTTGGAGCGGGAGCTCAGACAGAACGCGTCTGATCCCGTCGGCGGCCAGACCCCGCCCCCTCTAATTCTTTTTATAATAATAAATCCTCCCTTTATACTTGTAATTTTTAAATGCTGTGTCCATTATATGGTCATCATTAGTAATTCTAATATTTTTTAGGAAAGAAGAGTAAAAATTAGAACTGGTGCAAAATTAAAGAAATGCTCTTATAGTTACATTGTTTTTATATATTTTTTTTAATTGCAGTAAAGGTTAGCGTTAATTGTTTTACATGCTGCAGTATTCAACTTCCTTAGTAAGCAAAATTAATCAATCTAATGTTCCAGCTTACTCGTGTTGGACTATGCTAGTGGGAATCAGCAAAACAGAGGAGATTTTCTTATAATTATTTATATTTATTTGCATATTCTGCAAGTCATTGCATAATCCCTTCACACTTATAATTAGTGTAACATAATGAAAGACCAGGGAAATTGTTTTATAAGATGTGATAGGAGGGAGTAAAAGATTTTTGGTGTTCAGAATAATGTACCAAGTGAGAAGAAAACTCTGCTAGGGGTGTCCAGACATAATCTTGCTCAATCAGGGATTGAGCACCTTTCTCTGCCCCTGGTACAAGCAACAGTGGTTTATTCAATAAACCAGGATATTGTAAATGTTATCAAATCTATATTAAATAAATGACACACCACACAATATTCATGGAGTATTAAGATGCAGGATTGTCAACCCACCCAGACGTTCAACAGACAATAGAGAGAATTATTTAAAAATGCATTAATAGAATTAAAAGGACACTATAGTCACCAGAACCACTACAGCTTAATGTAGTTGTACTGTTGTCTACAACATGTCCTGGCAGGCTGAGCAATAAAAAAAATGCTGCCTTTTCAGAAAAGGCAGTGTTTAAATTGTTGCACCAATACGAATAAAGTAGTCTTAGAAAGGGTAGGAGATCTCACTAGAGTAGCGGTAGATAATCAGGGAAACTTGATAAGACGTATTCTCTTCAATAGGAGTGGATACGTCTCAGGGTGTTAATTCGAACTTATATGAAACAGAGAAGAGGCAGAAAGCAACCAATAGTGCAGTACGTCTACAGTCCAAAAGTGCTGTAAGTAACAAGAGGTAGAGAACTCACATTTAAAAGAGCGATGGCCAGCTCTGGTGTGAAGAGCATACAGCGGTATAATCCCCGCTTATGGGATGTGGGAAGATGTATCCATCAGCACCGTCTGGTAATCCAAAGCTCCAAAGGGAAGATAAAGGCAACAATAGTGCTTTCAATTGTGATAAAATAGAGAATAAAAGAGTGATAAGAGTAATACTCACAAGTGTAGAGCAGAAACACTGCTCTATTGATATAGCATTGGTGGTATGATCCCCACCTTGGATTTACTTGGAGTAACAGCATAGGGTAGGCTTACTACTCGATAGTATCAGCTCTGGTGGTATAATCGCTACCTCACATTTCTTTTGATTAGTAGTAAAAAGCCAAGAAGCAAAGGAAATATATTATCAAATATATTTTAAAATGGTAAATAAAATTTAAAGGAAATTGGCACAAACCAGGTCTATTTGTCCAAAAGAATTCCTTTATTCAGTAGTAAAAGTAAATATAAAACATCCAAAAATGTGTTTCGCCGATGTGGCTTTCTCAAAATGGGAAACGGGTTTTTGGATACTTTATATTTACTTTTTGTGTAGTAAAGTGTTTCTGCTCTACAGTTATGATGTTAGCATTTGCCAGTGACTTTTGTAAGTCTTTAACTGACACTCTAGGATTCTTCTTCACCTCACTGAGCAGTCTGCGCTGTGCTCTTGCAGTCATCTTTACAGGGCGGCCACTCTTAGTGAGAGTAGCAGCAGTGCTTTCTCCATTTATAGACAATTTGTCTTACCATGGACTGATGAACAGCAAGGCTTTTGGAGATACTTTTATAACCCTTTCCAGATTTATGCAAGTCAACAATTCTTAATCGTAGGTCTTCTGAGAGCTCTTTTGTGTGAGGCATCATTCACATCAGGCAAGGCTTCTTGTGAAAAGCAAGCCCAGAACTGGTGTGTGTTTTTTATAGGGCAGGGCAGCTGTAACCAACACCTCCAATCTCATCTCATTGTTTGGACTCCAGTTGGCAATTAGCTCTTGGAGATGTCATTAGTCTAGGTGTTCACATACTTTTTCCACCTGCACTGTGAATGTTTACATGGTGTGTACAATAAAAACATGGTAACATTTCATTCTTTGTGTGTTATTAGTTTAAGCAGACTGTGATTGTCTATTGTTGTGACTTAGATGATGATCAGATCACATTTTATGACCAATTTGTGAAGAAATCCATATCATTCCAGAGGGTTCACATACTTTTTCTTGCAACTGTATATATATATATATATATATACATATATATATATATATATATATAGATAGATAGATATATACATATATACATATATATGTAGATGTACTTATTTTACTTACTTCCTCTTAAGAATCCCAGCTCAACCTTGTCTGAGGTTTGCAGATGTCACACTCGTTGCCCCTCTTTTGCTACATTACCAGAATCGAGTGACATTTATCAGTCTTTTTCTACATTCTCCTAGTGCGGCCAAAACACACTTGATAGAGGAATATCTATGATGGAGAGCTGAAGAACCACCTGGGTATTTTCTACTGCTATCTTCTGTCATTGAAGAGAACTGGACATGCTTTTATTATCACATCTATACATTTACTATAAATTCTAGTTTTTTTTCCTTTCATTTATTTAACCCCTTAAGGACACATGACATGTGTGACATGTCATGATTCCCTTTTATTCCAGAAGTTTGGTCCTTAAGGGGTTAAACTACCATTATGTGTAAATTACACTTAATTTATATTTTTCTTATTTCCGTAATCTTAGCACAATTTGCTATTTGCATGTTTCTTAGAAAAATTCTAGAGCACTTTCAGAGGGTTCCTGTTAATCCCTATATTTTAATATCAATTATAAAGAACGCTATAAAATCTGGCTCTGCTTTCTTCAAAGTTGTGCATTTCCCAGACACTGTAATGAATAACAAAGAAGGAAAAATAAAGAATATAGAAACATAGAAACATAGAATGTGACGGCAGATAAGAACCATTCGGCCCATCTAGTCTGCCCAATTTTCTAAAAACTTTCATTAGTCCCTAGCCTTATCTTATAGTTAGGATAGCCTTATGCCTATCCCACGCATGCTTAAACTCCTTTACTGTGTTAACCTCTACCACTTCAGCTGGAGGCTATTCCATGCATCCACTACCCTCATTAAAGTAATACTTCCTGATATTATTTTTAAACCTTTGTCCCTCTAATTTAAGACTATGTCCTCTTGTTGTGGTAGTTTTCTTCTTTTAAATATAGTCTTCTCCTTTACTGTGTTGATTCCCTTTATATATTTAAATGTTTCTATCATATCCCCCCTGTCTCGTCTTTCCTCCAAGCTATACATGTTAAGATCCTTTAACCTTTCCTGGTAAGTTTTATCCCGCAATCCATGAACCAGTTTAAGTAGCCCTTCTCTGAACCCTCTCTAAGGTATCAATATCCTTCTGAAGATACGGTCTCCAGTACTGTGTACAATACTCCAAGTGAGGTCTCACCAGTGTTCTGTACAATGGCATGAGCACTTCCCTCTTTCTACTGCTAATACCTCTCCTATACAACCAAGCATTCTGCTAGTATTTCCTGCTGCTCTATTACATTGTCTGCCTACCTTTAAGTCATCAGAAATAATCACCCCTAAATCCCTTTCCTCATATGTTGAGGTTAGAACTCTATCAAATATTCTGTACTCTGCCCTTGGGGTTTTACGTCCAAGATGCATTATCTTGCACTTATCCACATTAAATGTCAGTTGCCACAATTCTGACCATTTTTCTAGTTTACCTAAATCATTTGTCATTTGGCTTATTCCTCCTGGAACATCAACCCTGTTACATATCTTAGTATCATCAGCAAAAAGACATACCTTACCATCAAGACCTTCTGCAATATCACTATGTATAATTATTATTTTTTAAACTGGATAGCAAGTCCACAACAGCATACAATTGTAAAATACAGATTTATGTATGCAGACACATCTGTTCAGTAGACCAGAGAACCAAAAGCAATCTAAGGAGATAATGCAAAAGGGAATGAATACTTCTGGACGCTATAGTGTCTTTATGGCACTTGATTGTGGGTGACTACCATCTGTTTGTCAGTTTATTGTAAGCTATCTGTCTCTGGAGTCTGGCAGTTGATATTAAATGGCTGCTGGCTCACTGTCACTTGATCTTAATTTAGAGAACTTGTGATTCTCCAGTCTGTACAATACATGTGTAGTTTATATCGGATCAGACACTTCTCAGAACATACACATCACATAAGCAGAGTGAACCAGTTAAATCAATTAAATTACTAGTATGGTTCTTCAAACATATAGAAATTAACCAAATACATATTTGCTAGTGGAAACATGTTTTTGAATCAGCTAAATTACACTGTTGTATCTCGTAGAAATATCAACCATAATAGATGCTTGTCTAGATCTGCTAATAATAATAAAAATTGACCTATCACCAAACATTGAAATTAAGGATGTAATTAGAAAAGGCAAAAAAGAGTCATTTTTTTGTGTGCAAATTTTTATTTTTAAAGTGTTTAGCAATAACAGGTATATTGTCACACACAAAAAAAAAAGACAGTAATAAGAGACACATTAAACGATTTAGTGTATAAAAATATTAGCACTTTTTGTTTTTTGGAAAACAAGAAAAACACAGTGCTAGGATTGTAATACTTTAGAAAAATATTAGTAGAGTCTGATTATAAGGAACAGGAGGGTAGGTGTATAGAATGTTAATTCGCCACCCCCACCTTAATAATTAGACCAAACT